AGATGCCCACACAGAAGGATCTGCCCCAACTTGGGTTATCTGGTTATTGGCTGTTGTGACCAGTTGCTGTGTCAGCAGGGATCTGCCCAGCCTCCCAGCCATCTGCAGCGGAGGGAAGCTGCTGTGAATGAGTGAGCCCCCACCTTGGCTCTCAGCAGTTACCATTTGCATTTCATGTGATCATACAATCTGTATTACTAGTAAATTGACCTTAAAAAAGCGTTCCCTACTTTGTACTGTAGATGATCAATAGAATCATTGGCACCATGTGCATGGCATCAGCTAGAGCTCAGTGAAAAGGGTGGGAAAAGCAACAAGCAGCTCTTTTTCTACTTCTTGCTTTTCCTTTTCATCTTTATTTTCACTTTTTTTTTCTTGTTTTGTTTTCCAGAAATGTATTTTCTTTTGCACTTTGCAGATATCACTTCTTAGTAATAGGTTGGGTTTTTTTTTTTCCTGCTTTAACTCTATTGATGGTAATTTTGCAAAGTAAAACAACTGAATGTCTCTTGTTAAAATTTTAAACTTTGTTTATGGGGGAGCTAAGTTCTGGTAGTTAATACATGACACTGGGTAGGAGTTTGCCTTTTTGCAAAGTAAAACAACTGAATGTCTCTTTTGTTAAAATTTTAAACTTTGTTCATGGGGGAGCTAAGTTCTGGTAGTTTATACATGACACTGGGTAGGAGTTTGCCACAGTGGCCAATTATCAGGCATTTACTCTGTTTTGCTTCGTATCTTCACCACCTACAATTTCAAAGAAAGCTTCATGGCGTACCTCGTGCAGAACATTCTTCTCGGATGAGAAAGAGCTAAACAGTTTCAATGGTGTTGGAAAACAGGTTTTAATTTTTAAATAGAAAATGTGTTGCATCTGCTTTAGTTTGTTTCCTAGCTTTCTCAGCATCAAAAAGTGTTTAGCACTTAGTTTTTCAGGAAGCTTCCTGCTATTTGTTGTTCACAATTCTAATGCTTCAGAGGTTGCAGACTTACGGGACAAGATCATTCTCTCCTTTCTTTGTGGTCATTTGTTCCTATTTTCTTCTTTCCTAGTCATCCTTCATTTTTTTCACAAATAATTTTTACTTTTATGTGATCAAAACTCTTACTATCACATCTATGTGCTAACATTCAGACTGGCTAATCTGAAAACTACCTAGAGAGACCACTAATTGTTTTTTAGCAGAAGCTATTTCTGTGAAGTGATCCCAATTGCCCTTACTTTTAATAGGAAGATGTGAAAAGCTATTTACACCTAATCTAGTTAGCTAATTTTCATACTTTTCACTTAGTATCAAGGGAGCTACTTTCCTGTTGTAGTACTGTGCATCTTCAGCTGTGTATCTGTGTATTCCTTCAGGCAGTGCTGCCACTTCATCTGCTTACTGCCATTAGCTGTTGCCTGCAAATCTTAAATGAGTCTCCTTGCTTTCCTTCCTTTCACGTATCTCATCATTCATTATCTTTTGTTTCGTATTATCTGCAAGGAATAATCTCATATCTTGTTTATATTTTAACCATTCTCCAGCTTACTTTCCACACAAATGGATTTTAATATTTCCCTCCGTATTATCTGCTGGAATTCTTAATTACATAAATGGGTCCTCAAAATCTAACCCTCAACATAATTATACTTTCTCTCTCTCTCTTTAGTTTTGCAGTGGATTCAGCAAATGTATGAGCACTTCAGGTTTTCATTACTCAACTCTTATGGTAGGAAAAAACAGTCTCTATCAGAAGTCATCTTGTGAAGAGGTTGCAAAGGTAAAAACAGATTGAATTTCTGTGTGTGTAATTACATACGCAAGAGGATTCGTGCACAATTTCAAGAGTTTATATAAAGCAGAGTCTGTCATTTTTCAGCTTTATGCTGGATTTATTTTGGTGATTTCACCATCTTTGCCTAAGATAATAAACCCTTCCTCCAATACAAATCAAGTATATTTTATCTTCAGTGCTGTAGCTGTGATCAATAGCTGTCATTTAAAACTCTAGATGGCAAAGGAATCTTAATTGGACCCCATGTAATAGGGTCAAGTTGACCATCGGAGTACTGTGTAATTCTAGGAATTATTCTCTCCGATACTTCAATTTGTCTTTCATTACAGTTGTGTAATTCCAAGTCACAAAGATGAGAAGTCATGCAGAAAAATCTGTGACAATTTTTAGACTGCTTCTACAGCCTTGCACAGTGAAGATCTATAAATGTTACTAAATTAATGAGTAAAAGGAATTTTATGGAGTATTAATGATAACAGAATGACATTATCATTCTTTTATGTTTTATGCAAGGCAGTTACACAGTGAATGAGAATATGTAATGGGAAGATTTAATTGATTAAAACCTCTGCGCAGCAAGCAGGAACTTCGGTTTGAGCTTCATGCCATTAAATACTGAACTCTTGATTGCTGTTCAACCAAATCAATACAGAACAGAAGTCTGTAGTGGATCTTGTGCCTGCAGCAGTAATAAAGTTTGACAATAAAAATCAATGCCCAGTCCCAAAGTATAGCATTTAATAATATCTGTGGTTTATGTCTTTTATTGATTCTTGTGGTCCTTAAGGCCATCTGTTAATTTACTCCCTCTGTCTGGAGCTGGGGAGGTCAGGGACTTTGAGAAATATGTTATTTTCTGCTTGTTCTGTATTGTGGATGGATTTCTGCAACTAAAATCTGTAACTGTCGCTTGTGAAAATGTTGCTTGAGGCATTTACCCACACACATCTCAAGACAAAATACCGTTTCCCAGGTAGCGAATAGGCAGGAGTGTTCCTTTCACGAAACCAAGCAGAGTATTCCATGGTTTATTTTTTAAAATCAGTCTCCCGACAGTAAAAAAACAGAAGTTTGTGATTTTTTTTTTTTAAAGTCTGTACTAGACTCTTTATTAAAATACAGTTTTCATTAACTTAATTCAGGCAGTTTTTATTTAGCTTGTGGAAATATCAGGGCTGCAGGCTGGTTACAAATAAATCCTGTGTCATCTTAGAGTAAACTGTTTAACAGCGGTGTATGAAATATGGGAGAATTTGACTAATCCATAATTTAGTAATCAGGCATTTTATAATTTGCCTAAAAATAAATTGCATCTTCTCTTCATCCATCAGTGAAGATTTAAGTTGTGTGCCCTGAGCTTTCATTTCAGCTATTCTTTCCCAAAACAACCCTATGCATATTTATAAATGTTTTATAGAATAGAAGCACAACTCAGGTCTTAATATTTCACAGCAAGTCTCAACAGTTTTTACTATAAACTAGTTTATTTTTGTGTATGTTTACAGTCCATTTTGTCCTGTGCTATCTTATCTTTCTGAATTATTTCGTATATAATGGAAAATAAGGCGCTTAAAATGTAGATGAGTGTTTGAATTCACAGGTCTTTAACAGTTCTAGGAGTCGAGCCTGGTGTCTTGACACAGCCCTCTCTCTGACCAGTAAATAATATTTCTTCTTGAATGGTAAGTACTAAACCCAAACAGAAGTAACCAGTCATTTGCAGTCCTATAACACAGTCCATTTTCAAGTTGCATCAGAAATCCTGCACTCATTTGGCAAGTAGCAAAGCATATTCAAAAAAAAAAAGAAAAAAGTGGGGGGGAAGTTTCTATGTCCATACATGGTAAAGAATTTCTGAGAATTGGAGAATTGTTTTGGAATTACTGCTGAATCACTCTTAAAATACTTGGGAGAGACCTCTGAAAAATACGCAGTGATGTGAAGCAAATTAGTTGCAAATATCTGTCCTGCCATCAAAAAGTATGTCTTTTAAAAAGACAATAATTAATGCATATAATTTTCCCACTGCAAATTGTACAAAGCAGTTGCAGTTTTTATTGTGAGGTAGAAATGTAGGGTTAGAGATTTGATCCTTTTGCCACTTTTTGTTTCAATGTGTTCTTAAGCATCCACAGTACAGCTATGGCTGGTGAAAGTATACACACACACCCCTTCCCCCCCAAATAAACACAGCTTATTTTATGTAGTTACAGTAGAAAAAGAAATAATCCTGATGATGTGGCTTATTTTGATTGTTCCAGTGAGGACAGAAGCAGGACAAAATTTGAAAATGGGATTTGTGTGTGTTTTCATTAGGCCAGCTTGTTTCTCTTTATTAATCAAAGATAATATAATGCCTCTCCCTTAAATTTTTGCCTTGATTCATGGATCAACCTAAACAGCAAAGGAGCGCCATTGCCTGTACCATCTGTCTCTTCAGCATTTGTCTGCACAGTCTGTTACAGCATAACCCCGTGAGATACAAGTCTACAATGATGTAGCTGTGGCAAGTGATTCCTAATTCTGGCTTCATCTCTTAATCTAATCAACTGGTGCATGCTAATTCCCAAAACATAACTGGATTATCAGCACAGTCAAGCTTCTATCCAGTCACAGTTTAAAATGAACCGTGTTAAAAGGCAACAGAAAAAGCACTTAATTGTTATAGTAGAGACACTTAAAACGCTCTTAATTAGGCAGTTTGATTAATCAGAACATCTTTGAAAATACTGAATACTGATGGCTGTAGACTGAGATTCTGGTTTAATCATATGCAAATATAATCTGCTTTTTCCAATCAGGTAAGCCTGTTCATTTCACAGAAGGAGGTTTTTGGTCCTCGCAGGGTTTGTGAGCAATAATTGCCTTTTCACTGAGGAGTGGGTATAAGCCCTTTTCTCCCCTGTTTGGTTTTAGTTGGTTTTGGGTTGGGTTGTTTTACAGAGAAAACCTGCAAAGGTGGGGCGATACTGCTTAGTCTGCAGCCTGGATAAACCTCCAAAGTTCATATTTTCTCATGTTCTAACAAACTCTTTCACTTGGATTTTTTTTTTTACCTCTGTCAACAGAATGTTGATCATGCTGATCATGAAGGACTCTTACTGTTGCCATCCACCAGCTTCTGTTTAGAAAACAATTATAAAATTTATAATTGTTTTCAGCAGCTGTATGGTAGCTGTATTGCAGTAAAAATGCAGTTTTGAAGAAAAAATCAATCTTTTCAATCCTAGGGCTACACTTTCATCTGGGATTCTTCCAGCTAGGAATGAGAGGGTCACACAAGTGGAAAGTGAGTTCAACTGGTACCTACTAATGTTTTCAGGCTGCTGACTTGGCTACCACCTAATATGTCAAGTTCGGACATGAGTGGCCTCCTCTTTAAGCAGTTGCTCCGGTGTGGACCACCTAATATGTCAAGTTCGGACATGAGTTGCCTCCTCTTTAAGCAGTTGCTCCCATACTTTTATATCCTACCATGGAGCATTGAACATTGGTAGAGGTCAGTGCAGTCTCCAGATGGGCTTTGAAGTGATAGCACAGATGCTCAGAACAAAATGCATGTGTTCCCCTATAAGCAAGATATACTCTAGTAACCTTCTAATAGTCAGAATCGGTAGCTCAGTCTTAGCAAAAATATTTCCCAGACTTTTGAAGCCTCTGCGGGTATTGAAAAATCAGCTTAGTAACTATGTAGTTACTGAAAAGTTATGATATCTACTGATTCAACCCTGTTAGTGAGAGCTTCCTGAAGCTTTTCCAGGAATTGCATCCAAGTACTGAGTGCCTTCAGCTCTTAAGATGTGCTGTATCCACAACACTTCACTCTTACAGTTTAATGGATATTTTTGGCTTTGTCAGTGTGTCAATAGTGACATTGAAACAAACTTGGAGAGTTTTTGGTGAAGATTTCAAGTAGCAGGAGCCTAATTGGTGCTCTCAACAAAATCAACATAGTATTTCACTAGATTGGAATGCGTTTAATGCTTTTGAAGTTGAAGTCCATAAATATACTAGGGTGAATGTGATTGCTTGAGTGACTAGACAAAGTTTGAGCCAATATATGGGGCTGCAGTTCTAACTTCTTAAAGAACCTTTTATATTTTGTTAATTAAATGAATTACTAGAACATGCTCCAATCCATATATAGTACAGCTTCTGGGTACGCCAGCTTAAAAAAAAATTCTACAGATGTGCTAATTTTAAACTCTCACTTGTAGTTTTAATTGTGAATTGATCATCTCTTTCCTAAATACTGAGTCTTCATTAATTTGGATTCACTAATTGCAGATCCTGGGCAAGCTGCAAGTGATGATGAAATGCAATCCTTGCGGAGTGTCTGATGGTTGATTAAACATTTGTGGAAGGCTTGGTTTTTCAGACACAGGTAAGTTGGTGTCTGTTTCAGCAACATCATTGGTATCAGTATCTGCTCAGAAACCTACATGAAGTCATTGGCCTTTGCAAGGGCTAAAATAACTTTTATTCTGTTGTGAGCAGTGACAGCACTCTTCTGCAGTGCTCAGGGCTGAGATAACCTTAGAGAAGGGTCCGCTAGTTCTCACAGCTAAATGTAAAAATCAAAACCTGGTGGATTCCATCTCTGAAATATTTGGTGGCCTATAAAAATGCCCTACATACAAGGACTGGGTCCGAGTGTACTGACAACTGTCTCTTTGGTCTGCCCAGCCAGTTGTGGACAGTTTTTGTGTAGAACAGCCGGCCCATGTGGTTAGCTGTAGCAGGGATTTTGTGTAGAACAGCCGGCCCATGTGGTTAACTGTAGCAGGGAAACATCTGTTTCAGAACAGCATCACACAGCTGAATGTCACTGGGCTTGTGGTAGTAGCTACTGATGCCCCATCACTAATGAAAACATATCTCCATTAATGGAGATGCGATAGAAGTGCAGGAAGCGGGGCTAGAAAACTACTGTCTGCATGCAAAAAAATGTTTTTTAATCTACTGTCATCACTCCTGAAGAATTTGATGAAAATAGAGGCAAAAAGCCAGTAAGATAAAAATCAGTACTTCCTGTGCACTGTTCGTTCTGTTACAGTTGTCTGTCTTTAACCACACATTATTATCAAGTGCTTAATAGTCAGTATTAAATCTAATTCTGGGATAACTTCTGAGAAATTATTTCACAGCATTAGCAGCTGGAAGAATGTGTTGTCTGTTGATTGTTTACATTATCTGTCTCCCAGAATAACAGCTGGCAAGCAACAGAGTCTAGACCAAAACCCAGTACTCAGTTCTGTAGGTGTAGGAGCATACCGTGTAATCTCTTAAAGCCAGTGCCTTCAGAAGCAGTTCAATAATAGGTGATGTAGGGACTGATTTGGAGCACATCCTGTATTGATACGTCGTAAGTAAATGGGAGATACTTCTCACTGTGCAGGTGTGCACAAGATCTCTAATGCTTGCAGCTTTATAACGTGACAGAAGAGAGCTAAGAGCCACTGCATGGGTAGTTAGTCTAAAAAGCAGTCAGTCAAGACAGCTGGCATCACTGAAATGTGACCATCCTGGCTGATCTTGAGAAGAAGAATGCAAAGATATGAGTTGTGAAATCTCTGTTGGTGTTCTGACATGCTGATTTTTTCCCCCCATTTCTTCAAGGGTGTATGAACAGAGATCGCTAAGCAACAGCACTCTCCTTCCAGGTAGTGGGAGTAGGACTTACTACTGCCTTTAGGTCTGGACAACTTGTGATTGCAAGAAGGCAAAACAGTAAATTAAAATTATATATTATGTCTTTTCAGAGCCTAAGCTTTTTCAGTCTGTTTCCCAGGGTGCCAGGTTTCAGTCTATTTCCCAGTTTCCTCTTGGTTCCTTCAGTACGTATCTTCTCATGGGAGTACTGTGAGGACTTCTACATGTGCTCACTCTTTGCTTGGGGATGCAGCACTAGTGGGTCCTGGAAGGTCTTGATCCATAATGAGTCATTTGACCACTCTCATGTTGTGCCTTAGAGAATGGATCCAACAGACATCCTTTTAAGGAGCCAGCATGCCCCTTCAGTGACGAAAAGGGAGACAGCTGACAAGCTGTGGCTCTTAAAACCTCTATGCCATTTTTTTCCAGAGGAGGACATTCACCCTAAGGCTCTCTGCATTATTTCAGCCTCTAAATGCATCTTGCAGTTTTACTTAGTTAAATATGCTTTATTTCCCCTTCTGCCCTGCCAAGTTGTAATGCTTGAACAGTGGAAATACTGTGTTTTCCCCAGAGGCAATTAACAGTCTTGTGAAGGACGAAGTATCTGGGAAACATTGGGGTGAAAAGGAAGTTTAGGAATTGCATGACATAGTTTTCAAATAAGAATCCCAAGATGTTTTTTAATCTTACAAAGGAATGGTTGGCTCCATTCCCCCCATTCCCCGTGATTCATTTGCTTTGCAACTTGTAGTTGGTTATGTAGATGTGTACTGTGGTGTCTGCTTATTGAGAATATGCAATTTAAGTTTCACTATCCAGGCTGAAAATACTAGGGAAAAGCAATGATAAGCTAACAATAAGATGATCTGATTGAATACAGTGCTGTTTGTAGTATCTGGCTCTCATATTTCTATTTGCTTCTCTTGTACAGGCATTCTGACAATTAATCAGTATTGATACGATGCTCTGAATGCACAAAGCATTGGATAGACTAAGTGCCAACGTGACCATACGGCTTTTGGCAGAGCTGGATGGGCTCAAAAAAAGAATGTTTGGCTTTTTAAATTATACAAATTTGCACTAGGTGTAGTTTTTTCTCCAAAAGGAAGGACCCAACAATGAAGTAGTATTTTTGAGGGCTATGAGCAAGGCCCTTTTTGCTGTTCTTGGTAGACATATTCAGAAGAAAGTGGGTAACGTAGTGGGTATATTCAGGCCATTCATTTTTATTTATGTTGACAATAGTCACAAATTTTCTACTGTTCACAGTAAAATTCTGGCTAACGTGCCCTGCTTATTGACTGTAAAAATCCTCTCATGCGCTTCCAAAACTTCTCTCTGATGTGTTGGGAAGCTTTGCTGTTCTATCTACTGTCTATTCATCTCACAAATTGGATTGGAATAATTAGACTGAAATTCCCTATTTATTCACAAACCAGCAGAAATTGGGCAGTAACACTGGAAACTCTCCCAAAATTGCCTGACCAGTTCTGGTGCTGACAGCATAATTTGGTCTCTGTAGCAGTCCAGCGCTGCCAGTTTTTGTGTATTGCTAGGCAAATGTACTTAGCAATAGTTGCAGAGGAGACTTGGGTGAAACTTCCCCCCTCCCACCCCCCCAGTACCCCCCATCGGTGTTTCAGGGTGGGTTTAAAAAATAGCAGTTCTTGGCCCCACACTGCCTTGGCAATCCCATCCAGATTTCCCTTTAATGTTTTCCACATATGGTTGTGAAACTCAGTGTCTGACTCCTTTTCTAAATATAGAATCATCATTCTTTTAAAAATGATTGATGCAAAAAGTCTCATTTGTTTTCAAGGCCTTTCTTTCTCCTTTTGCAATATAATGAATAATTGAGCATTCTTCTAGTGTCCATTTCACGAAGTCATTTTTGAAGTAACTTTATTCTTTCTGTGTTTTACTGTATATTGGGGAGTATCTCCTTTTCACTTTTTGAAACAAAAAGCATAATAGTAAAGAGCACTTTCCTTTAGCAGTGGAAGAGTAGCCCTGCCTGAGCAGCCTGTGCCCCACTATTAGCAGAGAGCTTGGTTTTGACACAGCTCTGCTCGTTACTTCCCTCGTTAGGATCTGTAGAACAAAAGCAGTGCTGATAGTATTAGCACAGAGCAAGTTTACTGTTTTCTTAGCTTAGTTTTGATCTTTTTGTCTCTTCCACCGCGCTACCCAGCTGTAACCTCCTTATGTGCTTTTATGTTAAGGTGATCAAATTGAATTACCTTTAAATTTCACTGAATTTCACTGAATTTCTAGAGTTGGAAGGGACCATAGAGATCATCTAGTCCAACTCCCCTGCTGAAGCAGGATTGCCTAGAGCTAGAGCATGTTACTCAGGACTGCATCCAGGCGGGTTTTGAAAATCTCCAAAGAAGGGGACTCCACAACCTCCCTGGGCAGCCTGTTCCAGGGTTCCGTCACCCTCACCGTGAAGAAGTTTCTCCTCATATTTGAGTGGAACCTCTTATGTTCCAACTTGTGCCCGTTGCCCCTCGTCCTCTCGGTGGGAACCACTGAAAAGAGTCTGGCTCCCTCCTCCTTCAACCCTCCCTTGAGATACTTGTAGGCGTTGATAAGGTCTCCCCTCAGCCTTCTCTTCTCCAGACTAAAGAGTCCCAGCTCTCTCAGTCTCTCCTCATAAGGGAGATGCTCCAATCCCTGAATCATCTTTGTAGCCCTACGCTGGACTCTTTCTAGTAGTTCCCTGTCCCTCTTGAACTGGGGAGCCCAGAACTGGACACAGTACTCCAGTTGTGGCCTCACCAGTGCAGAGTAGAGGGGGAGAATGACTTCCCTTGACCTGCTGGCTACACTCTTCCCTATACAACCCAAGATACCATTGGCCTTCCTGGCCGCAAGAGCACACTGTTTACTCATTGTCATTTTACTGTCCACCAGGACCCCTAGATCTTTCTCTTCAGTAGTTGCCTCTAGCAGGTCCACCCCTAACCTATACTGGTACCTGACATTTTTCTTCCCCAGGTGCAGGACCCTACACTTTTCCCTGTTGAACCTCATGAGGTTCTTCTTTGCCCAGCTCTCCAGCCTGTCCAAGTCTCGCTGGATGGCAGCACAGCCCTCCGGGGTGTCAGCCACTCCTCCCAGTTTGGTATCATCAGCAAACTTGCTGAGGATACACTCTGTCCCCTCGTCCAGGTCACTGATGAATATATTAAACAGCACGGGTCCAAGTATTGACCCCTGGGGGACTCCACTGGTTACAGGCTTCCAACTTGAACCTGCTCCATTAATAATTACCCTTTGGGTCCTGTCACACAGCCAGTTCTCAATCCACCTCACTGTCCCCTCATCCAGCCCATACTGCCTCAGTTTCCCAATGAGGATGTTATGGGAGACAGTGTCAAAAGCCTTGCTGAGACAGTGTCAAAAGCCTTGCTGACATAAATGATTTAGCGTTCTCTGTCTTTAACGAAGTGAGATTTTTCTCTCAGAGGTGAAAAGTTCTGAAAGTAAGTCTGGATTTGTGAAAAAGTCAACTGAATGAGTTTGATTTCTGCCCCCCATCCCCTTCCCCAGATGAATCTTCACCTGTTTATCTACACAAAAAACAGGAAAGAGCCTGTGATTTTAGTAATATGCTTAGAACAAAATCTGAGGGTTTGAACAGCTTTCTCTGCTTTGGCAGCGTTTTCCATTGTCAAATTTACAATTACTTTATGTAAGTATTCAGAAGCAATTCCACCAGTGTAGATTTCAGCTTTAGCAGCCTGTAACACCCCCAGACTGCTCCACTTCTTCTGCTACAGGAAAGAATATATAATGTCACATTAGGGAAGCAAACCAGTAAATGGCACTTTAAAGCAAACAGCTTTATTCGTAAAGAGAAGCAATTATACAAGTCTCCAGCTCACAGTCACAATTGATGATGGGGTCTTTAAAAAGCAGACAGTTCTTCTTGGGCGGTAGGGGGGAGATACAATATTCCTTTCAATAACTAAAAGCACACTTGAAAAAGCAATATGCAAGGACAAGAGTAATTCTGAACAGACTGGTGAAAAATCCAGGTTTACGTAATGAAAAGGACTGGTTTTTTTCTATCTTTATGGATTACCAAGGCGCCTCAGATTTTGGGCCTACACTGTTGCAAATTATGTAATCTATATCTATATAATGGAATTAATTACGTTGTTTAGTATTATGGTTAGAAGAGCTCTCTTTTTTCCAGTAATCGTGTGCAATTAGTGACATAAGGATCTGGAAAACTCCCAGAATTGCAGTAACAAAATAAGGCTCATTTCTTCCATAATTTCCTGTCCAGCTCTTTCCCAGGCTGCAGTAAACCTGCCTATAGCATTCAGAACGTTGTCAACAACAACAGAACTGAGCCCAGTACAATTTACTGTCGGAGGGAGGATGAAGTGATGAAGGTCAAAGGCTGAGGATACAGGGTCAGTGGAATAGTCAGAAGGGACAGGTATTCCTAAATATTTATATAGGAATGTGTGTGTGATGGAAAGGATTTCAAGAGTTTCTTTGCCACTAACAATTTCGTGCTTTTTCTGTTGGACTCTCAGCAAGACCGATACCATAAAATAGCGAGTTTTGCATGCAGATAGAAAGGAGCTTGTTTCATAATGGCCATTGAGTTTTAGGAGTATGGTGTGGGTAGAAGATATGCATTGCTGGTTTAGTCTCAGACGTGGTCAGATCCTTTTGTTTGAACCTCCCTGCATTCTTCAGGATGTGCGTGGGAGGATTCTACCATACATGAAAACCTTAAACGACTCCTGTGACATCTCTTGCAACGAACAACCAATTATTGGTTTCTAAGAAAAGAATTTTAAATGTATGTTTAGGTCGGATGGACATGGAGATCTAAAAATGCACGGTGAAATTACGCAGTGCTTTTGAAGTCTGCTAATGAAGAACTTTGGTGTGAACCATAACCTGCAAGTTGCAGAACAGTGAGTAAGGGTAATAGCAGCAGATTATGGCTCCAGATTAATAATGTGTTATAGGCTGTGCTATGAAGTCAGGAAGATGACATTTCTTCCATTTAGTGGCATTTCTCTTCTGGTTCAAGTAAAAGTTGTGGATGCAACAGCAGAATATCGGAGCCAGGGTATGGCTTTCCTCAGCAGGCATCTACGTTGCTCTGTGTGTGGACACCAGTATTTCTGACAAGGATATCCAGCTCCTTTGATCTGGTAGGAGCAGTCCTGTCCACTGCTCATTCAGAGTTTCTCCCCTTTGGTAAGGACAATACATTTTCTCAAGAATTTTGAAATTCTCTAAACCTGGGAAGGCCACTTCCCAGGTTTACAAAACCCCAAGTACATCAAACCCCCTACTTCTGTGGTTTGATGGGGTTACTTCTGCTCTCGGGTGGGCTATAGAGTTGACTGTGTTTTCAACCTCTCTTGAACTTGGCAATAAGTCAAACCATGACTCTTGGTAGGGGTGCAGCCTTTCTGGTAAGATGGAGTATCTGGTAGGATATGTAGCTCTTTTCATAACATAAATTCTTAGGAACATAGGAAGTATAAAGAATATAAAGATGCCAGCATCAAGATGCCCATGTGGCCCTCATATGATTATCAGGGGAAGGAAACCGAGCCTATTAATGTGTCTAAAGTACCTTCCTAGTCATGTTAAACTGTACCTCCTGTATTTATGAGTAAGCTGCCTCATAATTTATGCCCAACAGTCTTGACAGTACCACATCCAGTCTTTTCACCAGGGTGTGGGTGTGGTCAGGGATGACAGCATCTTCTGTTGTAATAGGCAAATTTTTACCCTCTGTAACTAAACATCAACCTGCAGAGGGAGAGAGGAGGCAAAAATGCATAGCCCAGTTGAGGCAACAGTTGATTGCTGCTGTTATCCTTAGGGGGTTTATTCCAATTGTGAATTTAGCCCAATATGCCTGTTGCTTAAAAAACCCCAAACAATCACACCCCCCCAGCCAAATCTTAGAAGTGAGAGTGGGTATGTTAATTTGTTGGTGGGTTTTTTTTTTTCCAAGTTACGCACAATCTGTTGACATAGCATGGTTCAATTGTAATACAGTTACAACTTGGCTGAACGAAGGGAAGTATTTTTTTTTTCTACTTGACTGGTTATCACACAAACTCAGAGTGATTGGCAAAGCTGAAAAAAGTATGTCTTTAAGAGGAAATAAAAGAGAACAGCTTATTTCGTAGGAAAGCAAGAGGGGAGTTTTACTTCAGTGTACCTCCTTAAGGGACAAGGTTGGGGAAGTCCCCTAACATTGTTAGTGTGACACAAGATCTTGTGTTTGAAGACTCATGTGATGTTTCAAGTGTCTCATGTGATGACTAATCTCACTTGTCTTTTCTATTTGTCCATCACCAGAACTGTGATGTTTGGGGACAGCTGGTGTCCTTAGACCAAAGCCAGCCTATGTTTGTTGCTTCCATGTAAGCCTATAGACTGAGCCAGCCTGGATGGCAGAGAGGCTAAACTTGGAGAGTAGAAGCTTGTTCCTAATGAGCTGAGAACAGTAGGACTTGTCAAGGTGAGTCGTCTTATGACCTTGGGCCTCCTTGAGCTTGGAGAGAATAATTGTACTTTTGTCTGGAGAAAAAGTAATGCAATGAAGTTGTGTTTTCAATTCAAATGGAGGCAATGAAGCTTGGTTGCTTTATTATATACACATCTGCATTAGTGGCAGAGATTATTCTGACTCTCAGTATTGTTCCCCAATATTGAAAAGTTGGTTTTAGGTGACCTCCCACTAAAAGGTAAATAGATCTTTAGGACCTCTCCTTTTCTCTTACTTGTAATTGAGAGAAATCTGCTGGGCACAGTGTTATGTTCTGCTCCCCATATTGCTTCTGCGTTTTCCTTCTAATTGGATTTCAGGTTTCTGTACTGAAAGTGAAGTTTAACAGTTGGAGGATAACGTGAGAGCTTCTGAAACTGAATAGATAAACATATACTGGAACTGTTTTATTTAAGAGATTCCTTGCTTCCCACTAAAAAATAAGAGGAATCCAAAAAATGTATTTCACTTAATCGTAACTGTCATGAATGCTGGAGGAGGTCCCATAAGGGGGATGGAGATATTTTATTCTATCAATTTGTCAAGCTAATCACTAATCACTGTCTTGCTCAGAGGGATTATTTCAGTGAAGAATGGAAGTCAGCTTTCAAGGGAGATGGAAGTGAATGACGTGAAGAGATACCTGACTCATAATTAATTCCATTCTACAGGTGATCATGCACAATATTATATAATATCATACAAATATAATTTGAAGACAGTGTAGGGTGACTCACAAATTCTGTATTCTCAGCCTTTATAAGGCATTCCACTAAGTGATTCTTCTCCTAGATGCTGAATTACTTAAAGTAGCAAAACCACTTATTCCATTTTGTGTCAGATATCCTCCTGGTTGTTAAGTTTAACTCCTGCATGTCTCCATCCGCTTTGAAAGTAAGTCTCCAGGTGACTCAAAGGAGAAAAGGAAACAGAAACTAGAATATTGTACAAGAATATCTTGTATTAGGTGCATTTTCAGAATCCAAACTCCTCTGATGTGTATTTCAGAAGCACTTGCCAGCTGAGTCCTTCCACTGTGTGTATTTTACTGTGTTCATTGAGTTATTGTCACTGATGGTTTTAAAAGTCTTAAGGCTTTTTCATGCACAAACAAGTCGTGCTGAGGTCAAAGCAAGTTTAATAACACTTCTTGTTGAATTCTGAAATACAGGAGGATTATTCTGCTTGAGTACTTGGCAGCTGTGAACTGTTTTAATGAACAGAGCCTTATTTCTATATGACTATTAAAGCAAATATTGTTTGTTAACATATGTGTTTGTATAGCAAGTAGAAGTCTCTTCTGCAGGCTTTCTGCACCTCTGTAACTTCAAGTATGTTTTTCCTCAAGGGAGGTAGCCTGGAGTTTATGGAATGATTTTGTAGCACAAAGATGCCAAGCACTAGTTAGAGATTCTTCAAGTGCAAGTTCTCACAGCTGCAAAATCTGTTTCTGTAACTTTGCTATGGCTGCTGTGCTCCAGAAAAAAAACACTTCTCTGTGTTCGCTACTAATGCATTCATCAACCCCAAACCTGCAGCAGCAAGGATAACTGTGAAGTTAATCTTACAGAATGCATAGGAAGGGGGGGAAATATACATGTTTAGCATCAGCACCTGCTCATCACCACATTTATAATTCCAATTTGTAGGTTAGAATTTGAGAGGTACTACCTCCCAGAAACAGTACTTATCATAGTGATAGTTGAAGTTGACATGAACAATAAATGAAGGCAGTTAATATTTTGCAAGGTAAAGGAAACAACCCACAAGAGAACTTCTCATTGATAATTATTTCCAAAAAGATCAAGAGTTGTTCCATTACAGTTTTCTCATTTTATATATCGCTAGGCTTCCAAAGCACATTGCAATGAGATAAATTGTCTATTTAGTATTCAAAGTGGGGGGCTGATAAAAAGTTTCCAAAGCCAGTTAAGAGACAGGTAAGGCAGAGACTGTTATTCCGATCATAACGAATATGACTGGAATTTCTAGCCTCGAGGAAGGCAAAAGAGAAATCATCTTCAGCTGAACATATATAAATACATACAAAGGAAATGCCTAGTATTTAGAACATACAGGACAGTAAAGATTGTGCAGAATTGATTATGTATAAGTTTAAGGAATGTACAAATTTTGCAAGAATTTTATGCAAGGAGCTTGTCAGTTCCAGTGATAAAACTACTATAATTTATTACTTCTCTCAGGCTGAAGAACTTGGAGGTTTTGTGTAGATTTTAGAATGTCTGTTGAATGTTACAGGTTTTTAAATTGTGACGAGAACAAGAAAAGTGTGAAACATTGCAAGCAGACAGCATTGTGCAGAACACTAATTTTTGCTCTTTAATCAAGATATATTTCTTAAAATCTGCCTATATACTGTAAAATATGGAGTGTAATTATTTGACACTGTTTTTGAAAGCTTAGGACTATTCCATCCTTGAAATTTTACTGTTTGACTTGTATATTTGCTGATTTTTTTTTTTGCTTTTCCTTTGAGTTGAACATTGATTTACTTTACATTTTACATATAAGAAAATATCAGTCTTCCATATACTAAATACATAAAATCTCTCAATAAATAAAAGTTGAATTTAAAAGTGAAATTTATATGGCAGCAAAACCAGTTGATCAAATTACATATAAATGGCAAATCAAAAGCCAATGCACTGTGAAAACATGAGGCAAAATTAACACTTAACACTACAAAGTCAAAGGCTATTCTGAAAGCTGAGATGATTCATTTTTCGAATGTAGCATATCACAGAAAAGGACACTCCTCTGCATTCTTCAGAAAGCTCCTTTATTCTTCCATCCCAAAGAAAGGATGTAAATTAAATCCTTGCTGAAGGACTAATGCAGCCAGGAAAAAAAATGCAAATTTGCGTTTAACCATTTAACATGCACAGAGAGATTAACTCAGTCCACAAGGCCTGGGGAAACTAATCTAAAAAGCCCTCCAGGGGATGCTTTGCTTTGCTTTGCCAGAAACTGGCACAGCAGTAACTCCTGGTGGGCCCTTTGCTGGTGAATGGCCTGTGAATTTCTTCTTTTGCTTTCTGCAGTTCTGCACTGAATTGGAAATTTTACATCCTCAGGCCCAGATTCGTCCCTGATGGGAGAGAGGGGCTCACAGGAGGGAAGAAAGCTTAATGAGATTTAGTGCCTCCTCTGGTAAGTCTCCATGTGACTTCTTGCTTTATCCCCAGCCTCCTAGTTATTTCTGTAAAGGAACAAGCTTTATATTATTGAGAACAGAGAGACAGATCTCTATGCGTTTCTGTAAAGGAACAAGCTTTATATTATTGGGAACAGAGAGACAGATCTCCTCTATGCATTATTTTTAAAAAAGAAACAAAGAAAATTAGAACTAGACTTAACATAATCTGTCCTGTGCTGGCACAAGGCTTCTGAGCAGTGTAGGGAATATAATCTTTTTGCCGCTCCAGGAATAAAATATTTTGTCCTTGTTAATGAAATGGCAAAGTGTGGTCTCTTAGCAGAAGCAGAGCAGTTCTGTTGAGCATCACACAGCTGGTGAGTGAGCTCTGCAGAGCCAGTGCTGCACAGCTCCAGTTCTGTACCTGCTTGTCTTCGTTACTAGAGTCCAGGTGTCCAGCCACGAGACAGAATCATGCTGTGGCCAGAGGGATGGGAAGAGGGATGTGTATCCATCTCCTAACGCAGCACATGCTGTTGGGAGGGCCTGCTGCCCACAAAGCCTCTCCTTCCAGGGCTGGGCACCCAAACAGCAGCGTTTGGCTGCTCCCCGTGGGTGTCAGGGATCTTCTTGGTGTCTGTGCACTGAATCAGCTGGAGAGGCTGCCATTCAGGGTGAAAGTTGCTTAGCTCTGGGCACCAGGGGTTTTGAGTAGTTCTTTTTTGCTTGTTTCTAAAATTGGTCCTGACTGCAAAGCTAAAAGCTTCTTCAGCAGCTGCAGAAGGCTACAGTCTTTAGCTGGTCTGTCATTTTGTGTTACATCAGGAACTATTCTAGGAGGTATCAGGCAGCAGCAGAGAACTTTGCCTATGATTTCATAGCACAGTTAGTTTTCTAACTTGATTCCTCAAGGGACCTTTAAGGGAATAAAATTAAGATGTTAAAATATATTGCTAACTATAAAGTGCAGTATTTATTTGAGTTAATAAATTGTGAATTTGATATTTATCCTTTATTCTGGATTTGATTTTGGTTGTGCAATGAGATCTTTGTTTTAGAAGAGATGAGAAGTCACAACTGATCAGGCTTGTTTCAAGGTCTGACTGATGATTTAATAGATTCCTGCTTCCCAGTCTCACTTCATCATTAATTTGGGAATTTTTGTCCCAAAGGAAATTAGCTATAATATTTTAGCTGAAGATGATTTCCCTTCTGAGGAAGTGATATTATTGAAGGTCCCTAATTGCTCTTAACAGGTTTTAGATTTTCAGCCTATATATAGGTTGTAATTTGAAGTCAAAGTCCACCTTTCATCTTGAAATAACTTATTAATGGGGTAATGAAATACAGTGATCTGAGGTGGAACACAGCTACTGAACACCATGAAACACTAAGATTTTTCACTCTGAAAGTCTGAAGGAACAGTCCAAACCCATTCAAAGGCCTGTTTATACAGCTGTCTAGTCTTTTTGGACTAGTTCAACTTCGGAGTGGATCAAAGAGGAATTTCTCTGCTGTAGAGGTGCCATGTACCTCTAATAATAATAATAACTGGGGTTTATCCCATCATCCTGAGCCAAGAAGTGTATGTTCCGTGCTCTAATAATAATAATAACTGGGGTTTATCCCTGAGCCAAGAAGTGTATGTTCCGTGTTGGAAGAACATCCACCCAGGTTCAGTTCCAGAAGTAGCCTAACTGTGGAAGCAAAGACCTTTGTAGTAGTTAAGTTTTTCTTGCCTCCTTTGCTTAGTTAAGGGAAGTGAACTATTTCAGAGTAGGCTGTCACAAACAGCTGCCTCAGGACAACCAAAAGGGGTGTATGTTGCGGTGCTTGTTTTGACTGCATGTTCTTGTGAAGCTCTCTCGACAGTGTATGCCAGTTCAGTTACTCCTTTAAGTTATACCTATTCTCAAATTATGTTACTAAAAATAAGCATTTTTTGTCAACTCAGTTGCTAAGCCTCCTTACACACTGGTTTGAATAAAAGCAAGTTAGCTGGTAAGTGAATTTGTAAATTTGAAATACTGCTCTTATTCTGGTTTTGACCTGCGTTGTGCCACATGACTGTGAGGAGTTGGTCTATTCTATTGTTCAGGCGTAACATGCAGTAGGATCTGAAAGATGTGACTGGAGTAAAAATCCTGGCTTTCAGTCCAGCCTCAAGGGTGTGCTTTGGGGCTTGACCAGTGTGTCTCGCTGCTGGCTGCCTCGAGGGCCGTTTGCCATCTAGTGGCTTTGGTGCATTAATGCCAAAAGGCTGTAAGCAGCAAAGCTGGTTCCTATTAAAACCAGTTGAAGTTACAGTTGTTTCTCTTCTTTTACCACCTCCCCATGCTTTGCAGCTGTTTCTGTTTCAGCTTTATGAGGTGACAAGCAAAACTGTCCAACAAAACATCACTAGTTGTCACTTACTGTGGCAGATGCCAGCACAGGTCTGTCTATCACCTTCAGTTTAGCAGGCTAATTTCTCCTGCTTTTATTCCTTAAGTTCCCTACTTTTGTCATGAAAATGTGTGTATGGATACAGAGAGAATAACATGCATCCTTACTGGAGTGTTGGTAGATGCTGCATGCTTTATGCTCACCAGCTGCCTATTTGTTTCCCTGTGCAGTGTAATTTGTGATAGGTTTTAATCCCCACAGTTCAACCACCTAAGAAAAGCCCAGAGCCTGAGTTGGGACAATATTTTTAATTGCCTTTTCCATTTGAGAACTGGAAAATTGCCTAAAGGGGAGGGGAGGCAGCAGCATTTCCTCCCCTCTAGCGAGAACACCCTTCTGTAACCCCAAATCTCTGAGATTTCCTCCTGTCTCTGCAGTTACCCAACACGGATTGCTTTCTTCTCTGTCCATATCTCCCTATCTTTACAATGGGATAATAACCTCTTTTTGTTAGGTTTTTACAAGTTAGGTGTTCCCAATATTAGTATCATGCATAAAAGAATTCACAGGATATACTCCTCTGCCACGTACACCCACATCTATACATCACTTCCCAGGTACTCAAAGAATGTTACCAGGAAAAATGACCAAATGAAAACATCTGAAAAATCTTTACTCTGAACATGGGAAGAATAAAGTGGTGGGTGTAATTCTCTTTCCCTTTCCTTCCTTCCTTTCTTTCTTTCTCTTTCCTTCGCAAGTACTCAAATTGTTGTTAAATAAGTAGTGTTGGTGAGTTTCCAACATCTGGCCTCACTTGTGTCTTAATTCCAATTAAACTTTGAAGTTTAAACTTAAGTTTTGATTGAAACTTTACAAGAAAAATGCAACTTCTGGGCTGGAAGGGCCATGCTTTTGAAGGGATAAACAATCTTTTTATATATTGCTGCTTAAATAAGAGCATAGTCTGGAACTCGTGCTGATTTACACCCAGTCTTATGTTTTACCAGTTTGGAAGACTTTGAGTGAGTGTGTTATTCAAGTCTGTCACAACTGAATGGCATCTTTACTATTTGAAGGTGTTTTTTTGGCTGGGTGGTTTTTTTGGTTGGGTGGTTGGTTTGTTAATTTCTTTATTTATTTAACACCGAATGAGATGCTGCTTCCTTCAGCTTTGGGTGCTTGTCTGTTTCTCTTCAGCTTTGGGTGCTTGTCTGTTTCTCTTCAGCTTTGGGTGCTTGTCTGTTTCTCTTCAGCTTTGGGTGCTTGTCTGTTTCTCCTCAGCTTTGGGTGCTTGTCTGTTTCTCCTCAGGTCAGTGGAGACTTGGCAGGGTTACCCTCTGCTTAGAAAAGCATGGGAGGAACTCGCACGGGCGATTTTTTTCAGAAATCTCTGGAAAATAGCGCTTGTCAGAAAATGCTGTTTAATACCACGTCTCCTCTGACGCGCCAGTGTGCAGTTTTGGGGTGTTTTCGGTGTAATCCCTTCTCGCCGAGCAGGAAGCTGGCGCTGAGCGCCAGGTCGAGCGACTGGAGTGCGCGGTTACTGTGGAAGCCGCCCGTGTATGTCCAAAGTGCTCCTGAAGAGGGACGGGATTCCCTTCCCGGGCTGAGAACGGCCGGGAGAGCGGCACCTCCGCTCCTGCCCCGCCGGTCCCTTTCCCGCCGGGGCGGTGCCGCCCGCGCTGACGGGATCGCGGCGCGACGGCGGCGCCGCCATTTCCTGCCGGCGGGGCAGGGAAGGCTGGGTTTGGTGGGGGGGCGATGGCGGCGCAGGACGTGCTGAGCCAGACCACCCGGCTGGCCTCCTCCAGCGCCTTGCTTCAGGTGCGGGGCCACCCCGGGCCGCCTTCTTTCTTCTCCTCCTCCTCCTCCTCTTCCTCCTGCTCGGCGGTACCTGGCGGGAGCCGCCTCAGCCCCGCCGGGCCCGCAGGTGTTTCCCGTGCGGCTTCCTTCACAGGTGCTGTTCCGGCTGGTCACCTTCGGGCTGAACGCCTTCACCCTGCGCTACCTCTCCAGAGAGCTCATCGGCGTGGTCAACGTGAGGTGAGGGAGCCCCCGTCCCACAGACCCACCGAGGCTGCCCCGGGAACAGGGTGCCCGGCCGGATGGGGGATTTCTGGAAGTGTGTGTGTAGTCCCGTGTGCCACATGTAATTACTTTCCATCCTTTTTTACAATATAGTAGTAAATTATCTCATACCACTACGTTTTCTTTGCCTACCTGTTAGATTTGTCTGTCAGGTGGTCTTGGGTAGAACCTGTCAGTGATGCTGCTGCATGAAGGGTTTCAGAGATAATATGTAAATAAATAATTTTCTCTCTCTTTTTCTTTCTCTCTTCCTTTAGGCTAACTCTGCTGTATTCAACAGTCGTGTTCCTGGCCAGGGAGGCATTTCGCAGAGCATGTTTGAGTGGGAGTACGAAGCGAAACTGGACCAAAACAATTAATCTGCTGTGGCTGACGTAAGATAACTGGAAAAATTTGCTGCTTTAGAAGTAAAGAACTTCTAATTATTGTCTGAGAGCTCATAAAAACAAAGCAGCTATTTGTTTACAGAGGTAATTTGAGCATTTAGCAGCCTCAGTCACAGCTCAGGACTGAT